CAACATAAGCCCACTCATTTTGTAGTTGCATGTGAGTTTCCTAATCAAGCATGTCATGATGAAATTGAGTGAACTGTTCAAACGTTGCTGCTTCTCCATGCTCAGGCACAACATTCTCACCCTGAAACTGAAACCTTTGATCATAGACATGTTCCGGGCGCTCATCTTTTATGATCATATTGCGCATGATCACACAAGCAATCATCACCTTCCACAGTTTCTTCGTGCTCCAAGTCCTAGCAGAATACCAAACAATGCCCCATTGAGATTGCAAAACACCAAAGGCACACTCGATGTCCTTCCTAGAACTCTCTTGCTCTTGAGCAAATCTTTTCCTCTTCTCTCTAACAGGGTTGGGGATTGTCTTAGGGTTGGGGATTGTCTTCACAATAGTGGTCCACTAAGGATAGATACCGTCACCTAGGTAATATCCTTTGTCGTAGTTGTGGCCGTTGATGTAACATTCACCGGTGGGTTGTTGCCTTGGCAAGCCTAGCAAACAGCAGCGAGCGTTGAAGCACGTTGATATCATTGTGTGATCCGGCCATGCCAAAGAAAGAGTGTCAGATCCAGAGATCTTGGGATGCCACGGCCTCAAGTATGACAGTGCAAGCCCTGGCATGACCCTTATACTACCCTTGCCAAGTAGAAGGGCAGCTCTTCCACTCCCAATGCATGCAATCTATGCTGCCAAGTATCCCTGGGAAGCCCCTGCTAGCATTCATCGCCAACAAGTCGGCTCTCTCAAGTACTCATGGCCAAACACAGCAATCATAGCCTTGCAGAACTTGTACATGGAATCTAGGCATGTAGACTCGGTCATACGGACGTACTCGTCAATGAGATCACCGGGCACTCCGTATGCAAGCATCCGGACAGCTACAGTGCATTTCTAATAAGAGGAGAAGCCAGTCTTTCCAAGGGCATCCTCTTTGCACTCAAAATAGTCATCGTAGCCGACCACCTTCTCTCTAATACGGTTGAAAAGATGCCTACTCATACAAAAACGACAGCAATTTTTTTTATGTTTGAGCAACGAATTCGTTGTGTCAAAATAGTCCTTACAAAGAAGGAAATGCCCGCTCTCTCGGTTGCGATTCAATGCCGGAAGGTGCCCCGAAATGGAGCCATGGAACAATGGCCGCTGGCTATTGAGGTGGTGATGGACCAACACGGTAGTCAAGAACTCATCATCATCATCGGACGAGGAATCGCCGGAGTTACAAAGGAAATTGTGAAAAAAGAACTCATCGACAGAGTCCATGTTGTACCTTGGCAAACTGTGGAACAACTTGTGGGCGTCGACGAAGGACCCGGCCGGCGAAGGGAGTCGCGCCGCCCTCGGACCAGCTAGCTGCCCTAGCGGTGTCCGACGAGCGTGGCGGTGTCAGGACAAAGGAGCTGGTGGGGCGACGAGGCGGTTTCTTGGTCACGGCTGAGTCGGTGAGTGAGGGTGGGAAGCTTTTGGATCCTTGGCGGCGAGACGACAGTGGCGGCAACGTGGGAGGTGGCGGCCTTGTAGGGGGTGTTGCGGCACCGGAAGCTAGCAGAAGGCACAGGAAAAATGGGCGGCGATGGCAACGACGAAGGAGTCAGGCGAGGGTTTGCTATTGGAATGGGAGAGGATGGAGAATGTGCCACCAACTAGCGGGCTAGGGGGAGGAGTACGCGGGCGCCACGCGCGTTCGTTTTGTGTCTGTGCCGACACAAATAAGGCTCAAAATTGGGCCGGGAATGAGTCGACAGGGGGACAAAAAGTGGACGCGTGTCTGTTTGGATCGGCGCGTTGGGCCGACTTTTCTGTCCGCGCCGACACAAAAGGACGGAGTGGACGAAATGGATCGACGTGTTGGAGTTGCTGTAAAGAGGCAAATAAAAGGATGGGGTTCATCTAAAAAAGGATGGGGCGCAACAACATTCTTGAAGTTGAGCATGTCCCTGATATTTTTTGTATTAGAAGTGTCAGCCAAGGCCTCAGCCTTGTGTGAAGGTCTGAAGCTGCCAAGCTGGCTAACCGGATGGGGTGAAACAACATTTTGTACACATGGATAATATCACAGTGGTTCAAGCCCTTAGTCGGGATGAAGGTTATTCTATGGTGGTAGCCCCTATATTAAATGATTGTCGTCCAGAGTTAGTGAGTCTGGCAAGGCTTGTATGGATTTATGTAATAGGGGAGTCTAATGTAGTAGCATATGTGGTGGCTGAATGGGGTCATGAGAACTTGCCCTCGGTTTGGTTTGATTCGCCCCCTGATTTTATCATTAAGTTCTTAACAGACGATAAGTGTTGTTTGATTTTTAATAAAGCTAGCCACGAAGATCTTCTAGTATACGATAGTAGTCTACAAATACACCAATTAGCTCCACTCATACGATTCCCACGGGAGACGTCCAGACTCGCACACGCGTCGCCTCCAAGGGGGGCCGCTCGGGCGAACCCTAGTCGCTGCCGCCCCCGACCCTCCGTCCCTCGCTGCTTCCCCTCCGCTGCTGGAGGAGGCTGGCGAGCGAAGCTCGCCCGGTGGACGGCGGCTATCCTCCTCTCTCCGCGAGGGGATCTCTGGCTGAAACGCGATGGCGGCCCTGGGCGCCCAGCATGGAGCCAGAGTTGGCAGGTTTCGGCGGCGGCCCGATGGGATTCCGACGGTGGCTGGGCCACCACAACTTCGGGGGTAGTGTGGGGCCGGCCATTGCGGCGGCACATATGGAGTTTCCCACTCCAGATCGGTTCTCCTCCGTCATCAAGCAGACGCCTTGGGTGGTGACCCTGGTCTTGATGGTGGTGGTTATCTCCTTCATCGGGGGTGTTCGGCAGGCTGGGTTGTCGGATCTCAGATCCGTCATCTAGTCTCGGCTGCGAGTCGGGGAGACGTAGTTGCCGGTGACAACCGAGCCAACGGCGGACGATGGCGGCATTCTGCGATCTTACCTTGATGAAGGCATCGTTGTGTAACTACTGTCCACCCACTCCACCCACTCGTACTGCTCCAGGGAAACCCTAGGATCTGGTCTTCCATATCGGATGATGGCGGCATTGTCGTGTTGTTTCTCTCTTGGGAGCATCGTTTGTGGAGTAGCGCTCCACGACAGAGGCAGGAGGTGCAGTGGCTTCGTCTTGCATGGAGCTTCGATGGAGATGTCAAGTCATGCTTGTCTGACATGTGCTACGCCGTGTCATGCATGTCCGGCAGGTGCTACGCACGACAGATCTTCAAGAGACTTCAAGTTGCGCCGGCTGGTGGTACTTGGCGGCATTGGTGCTGCGGTGTACCGGCGGTGACCGCGACGTGCTCATCAGTTTGCACGCAGGGAGATGGTGCCATTGGGCGCCATGGTGGCGTCGACAAATGGCCGGATTGACAAGAATGATGCGGATCTCTGCCCTGAAGATGGGTCAGCAGTTCGATGATGATGACGGCTTCTAAAACGTGCGCACGTGGTGTACGCTTTAGGTTTGCTGCACCTGTTGGAGGTTCCGATACGTTATGTGAATGAATCGGTAACGATACCGGTTTTAGATATGAGGAGTGAGAGCACTCCGCATTATCGAGTTTGTAGGTATGAATGATGGCTTCTGGTAGCTTGATGTATATTCATGTCAGATCTCTGTTGAATAATGAATAAAGATGGCTATATGAGTCGATTGATGCAGAGCCCAGGGTTTTAACCTCATTTTTCAAAAAATAAATAAAGATCATCTCGTCAAAAAAGAAGAAGAGAAGAAGGAAATAAAAGGAGAAAAAACAAGTGAAGACGCACCTTGTCTCCCGATAATCAAACCCGCACCAAAAACTAAAAAGAAGTCACGCCGCACGGGCAGATCTACGTTGCGGTCTCACTTTTACAGAGTGCACATAGAAATGCAGAAAGAATAGAAAAAACCGCGCGCAGATACGGACTACGGGAGTGGCCTGAACGAACGAACAAACGAACGAACACGTCGGCGCCCCACCCGCACCGACGAGAGCGAGCGATCCTGCCCGCTTGAGCTTGAGTTTGAGCTTGACTTTATTCCATCCACGGGCACGGCATATTCCCGCCCCGTCCTTGCTCCATCGGGACTGGCTGATGAGGAGGTGCTCGGTCGCTTTCCTCGTCTCGTTTACAGCCATTGTTGCCCCCGTCGCCATTGCCGGAAGCGGGCCTCCTTTCTTGGCCCTTGTGGCGTGTGACGGGGCACTTTCTTGTAAACTACGAAGAAATGAAGATAGTACCCCATCCATCCATCCATTGCATCGTTATCCCAGAGGAGGATAAGCACCACTTGCTAATAAATTGGCCATCGGGTTATCAGCCCCACGACGACCAATAATGAGCGGCCCGGGCGAGCGAGAGCGCACATGAACCATCAGCTAGTGATCAGTCTCCACTCAAAAAAAAGAAGGAAAAAAGCTAGTGATCAGTCGGCCCAGTATACAACTACTGCTGCGACCTAGTCGGAACTACCCGAGCGAGACGCTGACAGGTAGAACCGGACGCCTCCCAAAGCTCCAAGTCCGCGCCTGTCGTGGTCACCTAGTACACGCCAGCGAGGAGCGCACGAACCAATTAAGCCCCGACCGGGCCGAGCTAGGCCGATTTGTTAAGCCGCAAGTGCCAAATTAAGCAAGCAATGGCCAATGAGGCCGATCGCCGTCCTGTTGGCGCCCCCGTGCGCTAGCAGCGACTCGCGATGGCTCTACGTGCGGTATCGCATCAGCCGCCACATTGCGCGACTGTCTTCTCTCTGCGCGCCAAGGAGACCAATGAGTGAGAGGGACGTACAGCAGGCGCCCACCCACCAGCAAATACAAATGCTATCTACCTATCTATAAGAATTATTAACAACACCAACGCCCGCATCGCATCGCATCTCCCCCCTTCACGTCTCCCTCCTCCCTTTCGTTTCATCGTCCGCTGCGGATTCGGGACCGATCTGCCATTGCTGGAGGCGGCCGGCCTGCCGGGAACTTTCGAGCGCGGCGCGGCTCAGCTTCGACGGCGTAACGCACCGCGACTATGGCCTCCCGGACGGACAGCGGGTACTCCCCCCATGATCAAGGTATGGATGCTTCGCATTTTACTTCCTGCACATGGTTTTGCTCAGGCTGGCAGCTCTATTATGTAGTAGTGCAAATGGACTACGGGTACGATTCCGATGATCAAATAGTGTTTGCTGCTTCCTCCGTCCGCTTGCAAAACTGTCTGCGTTGTTTTGGCTCGTCGAGTCTCTACGAGATTGTCCGGGTGGTGCTGTTCTTGCTCGTCTTCTGATGGATGATCAGACTGTCAGAGGTTGCAAACAATACATGGACGCTGTTGATCTCCTGTCTCTTCAAGTAATAGCTGATTTGCGGATGCTGTCTTTTATCCGATCATGAGATGAATGACGTGCGAGATGGATCACGTAATCAGTTAGTACGAGCTGCTTTTCACCGCTGCCGCGCGTCGAGTGTTTCGATCGGTGCTAGACCGTTCTGATAGGATTGTCGTAGAAATAGAAAACTTACAAAATAAGACGACGTATATGGAATAGTAAAAGAAATGTCATTTGGTTCATGGGATAGATTTTTTTTTCCACTGATCTAGGCTAATATATTTTTCTTTAAAATATGGAAGATAGAAACCAATCCTCATATGAACATGAATTCATTTCTATAAACCAAAGGACACCAAAGAATTTTTTTTCTATAGAAATTCTATCCTATGAAATTCCTCCCTCCCAAACGACGTTGACAGATCACACACCATAGTGTTACGGCTGAAAACAAGTTCAACCAGTTCGAGGTCTAAATGGTTATGGATTTATGATGTTGGGGCTCTATCCATGTCAGTTTCTCTTGTTTAGTGGAACTTTTGCATAGCACCCTACCAATTGCTCATGCTTTTTTAGTAAAGATGGTTATATGCATTGTGATGATGCAGAGGCCGGGGTTCTAACCTTCTTTTTCCTAAGGGCATGGCCATCGCTCCACTCTGGACAGATGCTCCAGCTATCCACGTCGGATTCTACAGTCCAGCTCATATGAACCTGATGCTTGCAGACCAAAGCGGTCTCCTGCAGAAGAACCCGTCTCTTGGCTGACAAAAGTGAGAGAAAGAGGAAAAAGCAAGAGAAAGTGGCCAGGATGACCTTGCTCGTGCCCCTTGCTTGCGTAAATAATAGAGGACGGGTCCCACTAAGAGGGTGGCTAGCGTTGAGTAAACAATGTCTCACAACGGTGGTCTTGTCTTCTCTCGCTGAGATGGAGTGCACTGGGGCAACACCTGGTGCTGCTACCATTGCTCGTGCCCTAAAAGAAAAAAATTTGCTCATGCATCCGTGCCGCAACCCCTAAAGATTCAGGGGATTTAATCTTCAACAATCCATCCTTTTATAATTTGTCCTCGAAACATTGCAGATGGATCATTTGCCCAACTTTACTTCGACATTTTGCCCTATGACAGGTTGGCCCTGCCCGAAATGTCGATAATACCACTAACACTATTTACTTGGCCACGCCCTTCCCTTTCTTGTTTGCTCCCCCCTCCCCCTCCACTCCCAACTAATCTTCCGATGACGATGAATAACTAGACACACTAAGATCAAGTGGTGGGACAATAAGCTAGGCGGCGACGTTCGTTGGTGCGGCGAATCGACCGACTATGAACTGCATAGAGGCAGCGGGTGTCTACACGACTTGGAGCGGCGAGGCGGCAACGTTCATTGAGGTGGTGAATTAGACGGACACGAACTACATAGAGACAACGACTTGTAAAACGATGCTGAGTGAGGTGGCGATTTAGGTGACCATTGATAGAGCAATCACAACCAGGATGCACCGACCAAACCACTTGGATGGAGACGGCTATATGTGACACATTTCGTTGAAACAAGGAGGTCTACTTCACCAAGGAGCTTAACTATAAGTAAAGGGCGCTTGTGCACAAGTCATTTGCTTCCTCCATTGCGAAAAAAAATGGACATTATGAATAAGAAGGAGAATCAACTACCTCCAAAAAATCGACTGTAGGGGTATTTGGTCATCGAACTTTGATCCAAAACGTTCACATAATGTGAAAGGAATAAAAATATATTCAAAAAACTAAGAGATCGGATATAAAAAATAAAAAGGGTAAATTGTCAAGGTAAAAAAAGTAGGGCAAAGGATTAGATCCCAAAAATTCACAGTGTTTGCTATTACACAGGCGCCTCATTTGATGTGAAAAATATATATTCAAAAAGGCCAAGAGATCAAATATCAAAAATAAAAAGAAAGGTTGGGCAAATGTAATGTTATGTAAAGCAAAATGTCAAAGTGAAAGTAAGTCAAAAGATCAATTCCCAAATATTAATCATGTGTTGCTTTTATCATGCATGGGAAAAATTTCAGCATGTCAGTCAAATTTTGGAGTCGACGACATCGCAGCTAAACGCGACATCCTAGATGGAAGCGAGGCGAAGGTTTAAGGGGTACAAGTGCGAGGTTATCGATGCTGGAGCTGGTGTGCCGGATATGGAACGAAGGCCAGGGGTCGTGACACAACTGAGGTGACGATTTAAAGAGGACGAGGCGGCACGCGGAATTGCCGGTGATGATACGGTTGAAGGTCGGGAGGAGGAAGACGATACCGCAGCCGTTGGATTTACAACGGTTGTGCACTACTAGGGAAAAACCTAGCAGCAGCGAGGGTTTTAGGCCTATCAGTAGCACGGGCTAGGGCGCTACTAGTACGGGCTACAACTAAAGCTTAGCAGTAGCGTGCCTCAACCCACTCTACTGCTAAATCGACTTAGTACTAGCGATTTCCCGGAGGAGCGCTACTTGTAATTAGTAGTAGCTCTTCTCCCTTCCCGCGTTGCTACTATTATTTCATATTTTATTTCTTTTTATTTCATGTTGTATTCATACACCTTCACACAAGTTTTCATACAACAGGAATTTAGAGATTGTTTTTACATCATAATAAGTTATTACATCACGGGGTGAAAGAACCGTGGACTAGTTTCAAATGGATGTCCATCCACTTAAAACTAATATGCGATTCTTTCATCCAATGATATAATAAATATCATCATCATCATCATCATCATATCATTAACAATTTATCATCATAATACATCATTGTCATATAACACCTCCTCAAGATCATCGTTTTCATCAATGACATCACATAGCAAATTGGTCACTAGTCGTAATCACAAGTACTCCTCATCATCAATTCTAACACATTGTACCACATAATAAACATATTGTACCTCATAAGACCTACTACATTCTCTAAGGTAAAATAGCAAAAAACAAGATAGCCCCTGACTCTCCATTATGGAGAATGGAGATTATCCTGTCTTCAATTCTTGCCTTTCGCTTAATGTTACTTCCAAGAACCTCGAATGTCCAAACATTTTTTCCATTCTTTGATGAGCATGTGATCACCAGTTTTAGAAATCCGATATGCACAGGTGAGCTTCCTAGATTGACCTGGTAGTATGTTCAGAACTCTAAGGCGACCATTCAGATACATCAGATGAGGCACACAATCCATCGGGATTTTCTGTTGAAAAATATAGTAATAACTTCATAGTTAGCAATGATGTACTAGTTTTAGAAGTATGCAAAAGATGCACGGATGTCGTAATAGTAAAAAATCTTACCAGGGTATCTCCATAGAAGTTACCATGGTTCAACACATGCACTAGTGGCACGTATTCACCATAATTTGGAGGACTTCGATAATAGGTATTGTAATCCTCAAGATAAGTACAATAAGCGATCAGATGACTTTTCTCCTTATAAGTTAATTCGGAGCCTTCAGTGTAATGAGTTTTATCTACCATCTTCCGCACATTCTTTGAAGAATCAAAATAAGCTGTCAATGAAAATAAGTTGTCAACTATTTTGAAATAAACAATATAAATTAGTTAATAACTATGTTTGAAAAACTCACATTGCGGTAGAATCGTAAGCGTATCAACAAGGACCCAAATGTCCATATTGTCTTGCTCAATGTCAGGATCACCAAGATCCATGGTGACAATCATACCCACATAAAAACCATACATTTTGCAAAGTACTTCCCAATTTTAGCAACCAAAATGGGTTATGCTCTGAGCATTGCACAGATTTACTTCAAAATCCATATCATGATGGGTCCTTAGGTGTATTTTCTTTGTTTCAAAATTTTCATGGTCTTCAAAACCCATCCTCTCCAAGACATAGCGTCTTGCATGGCATGGGATAAGCTAGTCGAATTATAAAAGATGAAAATTAGAAGTTGAAATAGTTGAAATCATGCTTAATTACGAAAAAAACACTTGTCGTTGTTGCGTATCGTTTCAATATCGAATGTCTCCTCGAGCTTAATGCTGAAGCGCCGATCTTCGTCCAACTCAACGAACCTGTCGCACATACCTCGATCGTCGTGGCACCAGCTGCACTCCCCTGGGAGACCGTCGTCGTCCGAGTACGACATTTCCTACGTTCATAATTCAAAGATTAAACTTGTACATATTCTAGCACAAGTCATGCCAGAATTCACGGAAAAATCCGGCATGACCTTTGCTAAAAAAGGACATATCGAGCGCCTGAAATTTGCCGGAACGGAAATTAATCAACACTCTGGCAAAACATAGGCCACTCGGAGGTGTAACCTGAACATGACCGGCCACTTGGGCAACCACATATCCTATATGAGCAACACAAGATATACATGGAGATTTGGAAGGTCTCACCTCGAGGTCGGAGGGGGTCGATGACGGGGACGACGAAGGGGGTGATGGAGGGGCTCCTTGATTTATGCAAAAGCAAAAACCCTATAAGTTATCACTAATAAATTCCGAATAATTGCTTAAACTAAAAAAATAACAACAAATATGACATGTTCAACTAGTTCTATTAATTCAACTAGTTCTTACTAAATATAAACTTACTATAAATAGAAAAAACTAGTTTTTTCTAAAATAAAGCAGTTCAACTAGTTATATTAATTTACTTACTAAACTAGTTCAACTAAAACTAAATTAGTTCAACTAGATTATTAATTTACTTACTAAAAATACATTAGTTCTATTAATTCAACTAGTTCAACTGGTTTATTAATTTACTTACTAAACTAGTTCAACTAAAACTAAACTAGCTCAACTACTAAAAATCATTATCTATGAACCCTAAATTAACATCTACTACTACTAAAAAACATCTAGTACTAACTAATTAAGCAGAGAGAAAGGGGGTGGG